GGGGGCTCTCTTGACAAGCGTGAACCGAGAAATCGTAAAAAACGTGTGACGTCATACGATGACTGGTCATAAATGTTCGAAAATACAAAGAATAAAAGCATAATTATATGAAACATTGAAACAAGATAAGGTATGGATTTATTAAGGACGCCAATACGCCATTCTAGTAATTTGATTCTACTTCATGAAAAATTCACGATTTTCTAAAGTAGAAGGGAGGCTCAGCCCCCCAGAGCTTGAAGAAGGGGGCTCCGCCCCCAAGCGACCCCTCACTTCTACAGCACTGTTAGCGCGGAAAGAACCGAAAAGAAAACTACTGCTATGATATTTACATTATTCGCCATCTTGGAATTGAAATTTCCCGCGTAAATTCCAATCCTCGAACCCATTTTCCATGTAAACACGGATTGACTTACATTTCGATTCATGTAAACAGCACCTTAATTAAAAAATATTGCATTTCACTGGCTAGACACACATAACAGGCCATTCAAAGAACTGAAACGCGTTTTAACGCACTCTGAAGCCCTACGATATAACGTGACAAAAGGGGTAACTTTGCAAGTCGACGTATCACAGCACGGGCTTGGTGCAGCATGATGATGGCCCTATCGCATTTGCCTCTCGAGCCATGAATGATACGCTCAGATCGAGAGAGAGCTACTCATGATGGCTATTGTGTTTGGCTGTAAACGGGTTACGGTTCCACCAATTTGTTTATGGCAAGACAATCACCGTGGAAACCAATCATAAACCGCTGGAGCCAAGCAGACTTCAGAAGATGCTCATGCAAATCCAAGAGTATGATATCTATCTCGTGTGTGAAAAGGCTGCAAAATGTACCTCACTGATGCGCTTTCGAGCGCATTTCCCCCCGAAATCGTTCACGAACAGTTCGAAGCAGACATATAGACTCGAAAGGTTTCGTTCATTCAATGTCTACCGAGTCCTATATTACAGATAAAGAAATTACAAGCCATTCGCTCGGAAGTATCTGCTGACCACACGATGAAATTACTCTAACAGAAAATCCAAACCTGCTGGCTAGAGATCCGCCAGAACACAGATGTCTCGTTCTGCAAGATATTCGTACATATGGTTAAGATCGACACGAATTGACAATGCAAGATGGGCTAATTTTAGTAGTTTATAAAGCTCACAACATATTAATTAGAGACACGCTTACCAAGTTGCATCATTCGCATCAAGGTATAAAGGAAATGAAACGTCTAGCTCAAGAAAGTATATATTGGCTGGTATGAACGCTGAAATTGATAACGTGGTGTTCAGCTGTGAGACATGTCAAACTAACAGCAACGCTAATACACGCGAGAGACAACAATCTCATCCCGTTCCCAGTCGACCATGGCAACAAATTGGAACAGATTTGTTTCAGTGAAAAGGTAGACCTTATCTGATTACCGTGGATTACTACAGCCGTTATCCCGAATAAGCTGAACTCAGAGACATCAAAGCTCAAACAATTATCGCGAAAACTAAATGTATCTTCAGTCGTTATGGTATTGCAGACAACGTTATGTATAGGTTATAACCTATAGGCTATACTTATTTTTCACATTGCGAGGTCGCGTTAATGATCTCGAGTCATAATAGAAATAATTCTTAATGCCATATTGCCTTCGTGATGTTGTTTTTTCTCATTTTTTGTGCGGCAAGCCTGCAAAGACATTGCAGGTAAATATTAGAGGGGAATATTAGAGGGAAATTGATTAGAGGGGAATATTGAATATATTCTCCGATATGGACAAGGGAAACCGAGCAGGGTGAAAAATAACTTAGCTTAAGAACCCTTAAGACAGTGGAGCGCCTTGTGGAATCTCTTTATCGAATTAAAATCATAAATCATTAAGTGTCAATCTGTAGATGCCCTTAATTTAGTTCCCCTCTTTTGTTGTGTAAATTTGCGTAAGTTTTTTACTCACTTCCCCCTCTTTTATTGGATAAACTTGCAATAGCCCGCCAGCATACTGCAGGTACTGCAGGTACATGTGAACCGATTGTTAATAGAATACTATGCCGGTCTATGGTGAACCACGCTTTAGTTTTTTATTTACTTGTTGTGTTATAAATTTGCGACACAATGGAGGCTACTGTTTTGTGAAATCTCGTTATCGAATTGTTCAGTTAATCCACGCTACAAATTTGGCTTGCAAAGACATGTTTTTTAGTCGGATCGAGAGATCAGAGATTGGTGGCTGATGTCCGTTTTTCGTTTGTCAGCGATAAACAAGTTACCGAAGTAAGGAAAAATCGAGTTCCTTCGGCCACCAAAAGACATACATTGTGGTGTAAGAACGTATAAGTACAACTCCAGTATTGGCTGACTAAGCGTGTGAAGGTTATGAACAAAGAGTTCATCAATATTCATTTAGGTGCAATATTGCAGGGAGCTAGTCTTGTGACCATCAACATTAATATAAATAAGTAAACAATAAATGGAATAAAAACTTGTGTTTAAATGGTTCTTTGTATCTTTGAGGCATGTTAGTTGTTACAGACATGTAAAAAGTGTTCAATGTTCCTCGGATCCTGAATTTGCCTTTTCAGTTCAAATGTTCCTCAATTACATTGGCTGTAGAATTGCTGAGGAAACAGAACAATCTTGAAATTTTATGAATAGGATATGAAGAACAATTCGCAATCTCAAAATAGACTCAAATGGCCGATAACTAAATACGAGTCCTTAAAATTCTCCCTTAAAGTACGCGTGAAAAAATCAAAATGTTCGTCAATTTTGTTGCTAATGCAAATGTTCCTCAGGATCCCGAGATCTCACTTTTCCCCAGGTCTTGCATGTTATTCATGAATATTGGATGAAAAGAAATCGAGAATACCATGTAATTTTAAATTTTCTACTGATTGATTGCTACTGATTAGGACATTTAGGGGCTGATTACATGGACTGGGCTGGCCCACTTATTGCAATAATCTTATATAAATTTTAAGTTTCGGTTATATGGCAGCCGGGCCAGCCAGTTTTGCCGATGTTTTGTTTGTTGCAAGCGGTTAGTTTTCTCGTTTGTTGCAAGCGGGTTTTTTTTTAGCTGGGTTTGTAGGGATGAAATTTTCTATGCAATGGTTTTATGCCTTCAAACCGGGCTGAAAAATCGCATACGCACTTTAGGCTTCCGGTTAGGGGGTAGGGTTAGTTACATAGCCATTTAACGAGGCCCATCAGGGGTGTGACCCAGGTCCGGGCTAGCCCTGCCAATGTAACCGGCTCCAGTGTACCATATAACCACCAGTGACCATAACCCAGTTTGCCCATAATTGCCCCCGTGAATCTTCGGGGCTTCGGCCGTTATTCGGACACTACCGGAAATCCGGAATCGTGTTCGAAAATCGAAATGTACAAGTACTGTTTATTCTCTACAGCACGTGGGAATAGTTTTTGTTAAGCATATTTCTTGCGAATCTTTCGTTTTTAATACTGTAAATAATGAATGAGCTCAGTGACTACGAAATACAACGCTTGAAAAACATCGAATATAATAAAAGCGTATTGCGAAGTCTCGAAATACCTGGTCT